GAAAGAAGATGAATTAGGAGATAGAAAAGGCATGTAAGAAAGGCACTATTCCAATAATCACTGGGGGACTTCAATATGCAGGTGGATTGGGGAAATCAGGTTGGTAGTGAATCCCAAGAAAAGAAATTTGTGGAATGGCTCCAAGATAGTTTTCTGGAGTAGCTTGTGATAGAGCCCACAAGGGACCAGGCAGTTCTAGATTTGGTAATATGAAATGAGGCAGACTTAGGGAGCTAAAAGTGAAGGAATCCCTAGGGACTAGAGACCATAATATGATAGAATTCACCCTGCAGTTTGAGAGGGAGAAGATTGAATCAGATGTAATGGTATTAGAGTAAAGGTAACTACAAAGGCATGAGAGAGGAGTGGCCAAAATAATTGCCAAAGTTATTTGGAAGGAGAGCCTAGCAGGGCAAATGGTGGAGCAGCAATAGTAGGAGTTTCTGGGGTTAATTCAGGAGCAGAAATTCATCCCAAGGAAGAAAAAACATGCTAATGAGAGAATGAGGTTAACTATGGCTGAAAAAAGAAAAAAGCATACAATATGATGAAGAGTATTGGGAAGGCAGAGGTTTAGGAAGTCTTTAAAAACCAGCTGAGGATAACAGAAAAAGCAATAAGGAGGGAGAAGATGAAATATGAGAGTAAGCTAGCTAGTAATATAAAAGAAGATTGCAAGAGCATTTTTGATATATAAAAGCTAAGCGAGGGACAAGAGTTGACATTGGACCGCTAGAAAATGAGGCTGGAGAAGTGGTAATGGGCAACAAAGAAATGGCAGAGGAATAGTTTTCACGGTGGAAGGCACCAACAGGATACCAGAACTTCAAGATAGTCAGGGGACAGAAGTGAGTATATTGGCCATCACTAAGGAGAAGGTGCTAGGGAAACTGGAAAGTCTCGGGTGCATAAATCACCCAGACAGGATGGACTACACCCCAGAAATCAGAAGGAGAAAACTGAGGAGATTATCGAGGCATTGGTGGTGATCTTTCAGCTGACACAGTGGCTCAGCGATTAGCACTGCGGTCTCACAGCACCAGGGACCTCGGTTCAGTTCCATCTTTGGTTGACTGCCTATGCAGAGTTTGCACGTTCTCCCCATGCCTGCGTGAATTTCTTTCGGGTGCTCCAGTTTCCTCCCATAGTCCAAAGATGTGTAGGTTGGGTGGATTAGCCTTGGAAAATGCAGGTTTAAGAGGATGGGGAGCCGGGGGCGGGGGGGGGAGGTGGTGAGTTCTGGGCGCAAAGCTCTGTAGCAGGTCAATGCAGACTCAATGGGCTGAATGGTCTCTTTCTGCACTGTAGGGATTCTATGATTCACTAGAGTCAAAGAGGGTGCCAGAGGACTGGAAACTGGCTAATGCAACACCTCTGTTCAAGAAGGGAGGGAGGCAGAAGACAGGAAACTATAGGCTGGTTAGCCTGGCCTCAGTTCTTGGTAAGATTTTTGAGTCCATTATTAAGGAAGAGTTTGCAGAGCACTTGAAAGTGCATAGTAAAATAGGGCTGAGTTAAGGGGAGGTCATGCCTGACAAATCTGTTAGAATTCCTTGAGGAATTATTGAGCAAATTAGACAAAGGAGAGCCAGTGGACGCAATCTATTTGGATTTTCCAAAAGGCTTTTGACAGGAGGCTGCTAAATAAGATAAGAGCCCATGGTGTTAGGGGCAAGGTACTGGCATGGATAGAGGATTAGCTGATTGGCAGAAGGCAGAGAGTGGGGATAAAGAGGTCTTTTTCAGGATGGCAGCTGGTGACTAGTTGAGTTCTGCAGAGATCATTTTTGGGACCACAACTATTCACCTTATACATCAACAGTTTGGATGAAGGAATTGAGGGCGCTGTCGCTAAGTTTGCAAATGACACAAAAATAGGTGGAAGGACAGGTAACGTTGAGGAAGTGGGAAGGCTACAGAAAGACTTGGATAGGCTAGGAGAGTGGACAAGGAAGTGGCAGATGGAATACAATGTGGAAAAGTGTGAGATTCTGTACTTTGGTAGGAAGAATAGAGGTGTAGACTATTTTCTAAATGGGGAAAGGCTTTGGAAATCTGAAGCTCAAAGGGACTTGGGACTACTGGTTCAGGATTCTTTTAAGGCTAACATGCAGGTTCATTTGACAGTTCGGAACGCAAATGCTATGTTAGCACTCGTTTCAAGAGGGCTAGAAAACAAGAGAAGAGAAGTACTGCTGAGGTTGATCAGATCAGATTGCATTTGGAATATTGAGAGCAATTTTGGGCCCTGTATCTAAGGAAGGATGTGCTGACATTGGAGGGGGTCCAGAGGAGGTTTACAAGAATGATCCAAGGGATGAAGGTCTTGTCGTATGAGGAGCAGTTGAGGACTTTGGTTTTGTATTCAGTGGCGTTTAGAAGGATGAGGGAGCAATCTCATTGAAATTTACAGAATACTGAGAGTCGTATAGAGTGGACATAGAAAAGATGTTTCCACTAGTAAGAAAGACTAGGATCTGAGGGCACAGCCTCAGAGTGAATTGATGACCCTTTAGAACTGAGATGAGGAGCAATTTCTTCACCCAGAGTGTGGTTAATCTGTGGAACTCTTGCCACAGAGGGCTGTGGAGGTCAAGTCATTGAGTGTAGTTAAGGCAGAGATTGATATGTTCTTGCTTAAGAAGCTGATCAAGTGTTATGGGGTGAAGGCAGGAGAATGAGGTTGAGAAACCTATTGGCCATGATTGAATGGCAGAGCAGACTTGTTATGCTGAATGGCCTTATTCTGCTCCTATATCTTCTGGTCTATCAATCACATGGATCTTGTATCCACGTAGAAATGCTGAAAAAATTAACTTCTAAGGAATGCCTAACTCTCTTGTACTTGATAGTTTAGAGTAAAAATGTTTTAAAAATCTGGCATTCCTAACATCTTGCTTTTGAAAGCTGGAGACTAACAGTTTACCCACAGTCAACACATACCCTTACCATTGCTTAAAGGTGTAAATATCTTGCATCATCATCGCAGTAGGATGACCTTGACCCCATTATTTAACCTTTAACAGAGGAGCTACCCAAGCTTGTTGTCAGGCAGAATTCAGAACATATCACGCAAATCCATTCATTCTGACATTTTGCCCTCCGTTATAACTGTAGTCCAAAACCACCATATTCTTACAAACTTCAAATTGTATCATACTCTCATAAACAAGTGTAAAAGTTAAACTTGCAAATCGCTGGTTCCCTATCTTCTTGAAACCTGGCCGTCTGCAGTTTCAGTGTGCTGAAGTCAGGTGGCTAATTCATGCTCAGCAGATTGGTTCGATCTTTGAAACCTCTTAAGAAGCTACGTGTCTCCAAAGTTTCAACTCGTAAACCATTTTCAGCCAGGAAAACCAGGAGGTAAATGGAGGTGAGAGGAATGGAGACATTGACGAAGCCCCTTTTCTAACAAGATTTGTGGACCAGGAGGAACAGGAGCCTACCTTGTCATCTTAATGAGCAGCATTGTAAAGCTCCCTCTTGCATGATCTGTATTGTAGCAATCCTACCCATCATCCCCATGACCTCCCCGATTCCATTACAATCTCTTCTCCCCCATCCACCATCATTAACAAAGCTACCTGCCCCTTGTTTATTTGAATCGCCATGTGCTACAACCTTTTCCCACCTGATAGGCCTGCCAGTTGCCTTACCCAACAAAGAAATAACTAAAAAATACACCTCAGGCAGTTGGAGAAACCAACCTTTCTGTCTGTGTAACTCCCCATGTTTCTCTTCTGTATTGGTTGACTGGTCCAGTGCTGGAGAAACTCAGCAGGTCTGGCAGCATCTGTGGAGAGAGAAACAGAGTTAATGTTTTGATTATGATGAAGAAGTCATATTGGAGCTGAAATGTTAACTGTTTCTCTCCCACAGACGCTGCCAGACCTGTTGTGTTTCTCCAGCATTATCTGTGCTTGTTTCAGATTTCCAGCATCCGCAGTATTTATTTGATTGACTAACTGCTTGCTTTCTCACCCACCAGCTTCCCTACTCTCTGGAAACACTTGTCCAAGTCCCTCCACCTTGTCACTTCCCTCCCTGATTTTTAAAAGGTCCTTTTTTATTTGAAAGTCTCATTCTGTGACGGTGCTTTCAACTTTCCCTCTACTAATCTTTGTTTTGCCCTTTTCCTGACTGCACTTCCTGTTTCTAGCGCACTCTAAATGCTTTGATTCACTCTCCCCTTCACAAGTCCTAATAACTTTAGAGATTCAATCTGGAATAACGTGATTTGAGTATTGATACTGCTCATGTAACAGCCTTTATTTGATCTCCTGCTTTACAATTGCAGTTCTCACACTGAATCTAATGATCCCACAGCCTGATGTAATGTGAGATTAAATAATTGATAAAATATTAAACCAGAAATGGGGATCCTTGCATTCCAGATTATCAATATTTTGAAGTAAACAGTTTTATTTTCCTTAATTTTAAAGAAGAAACGAACATGTTTACATTACGCTGTCCGGAGAAGATTTTCCTTTCTGGACTACTTGCTGATCATTATCTTGATGCCTGTCCTGCTTCTGGGCTACATTATAATGGTAAGTGTGAGGGCTTTCTGAGTGCAAATGGAGTATTGTTGACACATTTTGAAATTATTACTGCCTTAACTAAATTAACAGGGGATACAAAAGCTAATGTAACTTCCAGTGATAATATACTGCACCGTTGCTGTGTACTATCCATTTGCCATGCAGGACATTATTTTTTGCTGAATACCAATGGTGTCAGCATGTAGTTTAATTTGAAACCTCAAAAACTCCTTTCTTTAAAAACTGATGTTGGCTGATACGGCAGTTATAACCGTGAAATGCTGGCCTGGGTGGTGATGGTCAGCATTTCGTCATTTGCTATGTGCGGTCTGCTCTGTCAGGGGTGTGTCTTAATCTCCTACGAATCTTCACAACATCGCCCTGTTCACTTGCACAATCCCTTACATTCAGCTAGAAGATTACGGTGTCGAAAACATTGTGTCGTAGAAAGTTGAGGATGCCTAATAATGTGAATATAGCCAGTCATGGCTGAAAAGGGAGTTGACTTTTATATCCAGAGTATGGACAAAAACATGACTTTTTGTTTAAGACCAAGAAAAAAATGCATCCTATACATCAGGTCAACATAGATTGCGATTTCCAGGATATAATGTTGGGGAATTTTGGAGTGAGCATGGTGTGTTAAGATTGTTGACCTTTTGTAAGGTCATGATCATTCTTCAGATGATGGCAATCTTCATGAACCATGAGACATTTGCTAACCTTGCATCAGGTGGTCTGAACATATAACACAAATGAGAGGATGATGCATAATCACATTTCAAAGACTGTTGGGAACTAGAGATGTCATTTCTAATTCACACTCGGTGAGAGAGGAATGATGATAACTAGCTGGGCTCTAAGCCTTGAGAGGGAGTCTGGGTGGTCATGAGCATTGAATGGAATGGAGGTTTATGAGAAATATTACCAGCTTGGTTATTGAAACTTTGCCGTGAACTGAGCAGCATCTCAACCACTGATAATGAAAGGCTTGATGCAGATGTGTCTGACTTCAATAACCATATCTCTGTCATCAGGAAGACTTGGGCTAGAAGTACAGTATCTGAGTGATCTCAGCTGTGTCTGCAAATGCTGCCATGTGAGTAGGAATGTAGCCCCGGCCTATTTGCTGGGATCACTGCGACCAGAATAGAGTGTCAGAGTTAATTTAACCCTGTCTATATGGGATTGAGCAAGTGATGCAAAAGTGTGCAGAAACTTGTACATCCAAAGAAGAGAAACTGTTCAGCTTTTGAGTACATGCAGCCCTAACCTTGAAAATAGGCACATCTCTCAACAGTCCTAAGTCTCAAAGATTCTGTTAGCTATCTATGAATGGATCTCATTAAGGTGACCTGAAGATATTAGACGTTATGTCTACTTAACTGAAAGTACAAAACTGCAGATGCTGGAAATCTGAAATAGAAACAGAAATTGCTGGACAAACTCAGGTCTGATGGTATCTGTGAAGAGAGAAACAAAGTTATTGTTTCAAGTCCAATATGACTCCTCAGAATTTCTCCAGTACTCTGACAACGAAACTTTGACCTGACAGTTAGAAACAAACATTGCAACAGTTCCATTTGTACACATTCACTATCAAATCTACATGGAATAGTGAAGCAAATCTTTTAATCTAACAATGCTTGTCTCCTATTTTAGTGGACAGTGTTAGAGAATACACCTCTGGTTGTTGCAATGTTTGTTCTGGTGATTAGTAATTAGGAACTATTTGTTTGAAAAGAAATATATGTACAGATGCTATCAAACTTCAGTAGTGAAATGGTGTTGACTATTGCAACAGAATCTCTCTTAAACAGTGAAACTTAGGTAAGTGAGAAGCTCTAGATCTCAGTAGAGTTGATTGATCGAATTATAGATCTCTTTGCAATGGTAATTCCAATTAAGACTGACATTCTCAGAATTATATCTTAATTTATTTTCCCTTTGAAAAGTGGGACATGTTTCTGGTTCACCCACAAGGCTTTAGGCACAGGAAAAATATAAACATCAAAGAACAGTAAGATCTTTGAATGAGTTCATTTTAGCAATTACCCTGGCTTGTCTCACTGCTGTGTAATTTGCCTTGTGGTATTTCAACTAATTAAATATGGTAAGTCAAGTTTAATATTGAACTTAACCACATATTGTCTACAAGAACAGCATGTTTTTTCACTGTTCTTGAAGAGCGTTGCTCTGTTTGGGGTTACAACATTATACTCTTGGCTTGGAGTCAGAATGTTCAGGCTCTACTCCTGTAAAATCTAACAATTTCTGACCTCTTGTGGGCTGCGTGGCTGCCACACCAGAAAAATAATCTGGAAAGACACACTGCAGCTGATCCTGACCATGTGCAGTATGTGCCTTTAAGTTGGAAAATTACGCAAACCTAGAGCAGAACAGTGAGGGAACGATGTGGTCCCATGGTTCAGTCACATGTCAAACGTGTTGTCCAATCTCTGTTCTGGTGGGTTGAGCAGGTGCAAAAAGATCCTGTGCAACTTTTCACAGAAGAGCTGGTGTCCTACCTAGTATTCTGCTTGCAACTGAACCTGATAGAGTCCATCTTATTGCTCACTGTTCAAAATAGCTGCCACGTTTACTTGCAAAACTTTAACTACTTTGTATGCAATAAGGCGCTGTAAGGTGCCATAAGTATTAGTTCTTCCTTGCAGGTGATTGTTAAGTATGGAAAGGCCAAGATATATTACTTTTTCATGTAGTTCATTTTTATAAGCCTTGTACACTTGTTCCATAGGAATCAAAGAAGAGTCGGAACGAAGCATTGATCAAGATGTTGTTGAATGCTAAAGTGGATATAAATGCAACTGACAATGTAAGGTTCGGTGAATGATAATGATATTTCATTTTTGAATGTAACATACATTGGTTAGGTCTCAACAATGAGTTCTGATATGGATTTTTTTTTAAACAATCATGTTGCAAGAGATCATTCAGTCCATTGTGTATCTGCTGGCCCTTAGAAATAACCATCTAATTAGCCCCACTCCCCTACAATTTCTCCATAGCTTTACAATTTTTTTCTTCTTAAATACATGTCTTGTCACTGACGGCAAAAAAGTTTGAATTGATGCTAAACAATAACATTGTGATGTTTGCCAGAAGATGCCTTTTTTGTAACAGGTATTATTTCTCAAGAGGTCTACAGCTTTCTTGGCAAGATTGGACGATAGCCATATCTCGGTTGATCCTAAATCCTCTGCTCCTTTACTAAAATCAGCTCTCTCAAGCCCTCACCAAATCACCGGTCTCTGTGCCTACCTTAGCCCATCTGTGCTGAAAGCATAATTCATTTTTTTTTGATATTTTTGGATTCAGTGATCCCAAAGATTTCCTTGCAACCGACGTTTTGCACTCTTTCTCTATAAACATGCAGCTCATCCAAATTTCTGTCCATGTTCAAACACATGCATTAAATCCTGCTCATCCATTAGCCATGTTTGTTGAATCTCATTGGGGACCTGGTGTAACATACAAGAGTAATTTGTCTAAAGCAGTTTCAACTGGATAAAATAGTGCCCTCAAGCTGAGGTGTATGTTTAAAGGTTCCTCAGTCCAAAGGCCGTGTATGAAATACAAAGGTCACCAAACAAAAGTTTTGTTCTTCTTGAACAAAAAGGATGAATGGAAAGCTTCAGTTTTTCAAACTGCTTACCTTTGCTACTAGTTTAATTTTTTCAAACAAATTCCCATCTTTCATTTCTTGCCCTTTACTTTCTCCCCCAGTGATTCACTGTACTTCAACCAAAGATACAGTGGTGCGATTTTTTTTTTTTTAAGCAAAACATGACTCTGCTGTTTTGCCGTTTTGCTGAGGATTGGGCCAAGTGTGTTTTGGTCTGAATAAAAACCGAAAGAACTGTGGATGCTGTAAATGAGGAACAAAAACAGGAGTTGCAGGAAGCTCAGCAGGCCTGGCACCATCTGTGAAGAAAAAATCTGAGTTAACGTTTCTGGTCCGGTGACCCTTCCTCGGAGTTCCTTGGTATTGTGAGGAAGGGCCACCGGACCTGAAATGTTAACTCTGATTTTTTCTTCACAGATGGTACCAGACCTGCTGAGCTTCCAGCAACTTCTGTTTTTGTTGTTTGAGTGTTTTGGTGAGTTGGCTGCTCTGTGTTTGTATACATGTATAACGGAGTTCCAATCATGTTACAGAAAGGTAATTCAGCACTTCATTATGCCTGTCAAATGAAGAATAAAAGGATTGTTTCAATTCTCACTCGAGCAAATGCAGATGCATCTATTGCTAATAAGGTAAAGATTTTCCTGCCTAATTAAGACGTAGTATTTCCTACTATGTATTCTGATATTTCATTAGAAAAGTTATTACTGTGCTACATTATAAGTTTTCCGAAGGACACATCTGAGCAGAGGATCTGTTTTTCCTGAATGCAATATTACCAAGTTTGTTTTGACCATTGTGTTACAGCATAATTTGAAGCAAGCCTTCAAACCTATGGCAATTAATATAAACAAAAGCTATTGGCACTGTAAATCTGAAATGAAAAACATGATGGAAATACTCAGCAGATCTGGCAATATCTATGGAGACTTCTTTTCAGAACTGCTCTCATTTTAAAGACTTCCTCACCAGAAAACAGCTTCCCTCCATCTAACTAATCAGTTCACCCTAATGTCAAACGTCAGTCAAATTACTCCTTATCCTTAAATTCCAAAGAATACAAGAGTTTGCGCAACCTTTCCTCATAATTTAACTTCAGAATCCAGGTGTCACGTGTGGTATTCAAAGTGCACCCCCTGTATGGCCAATTAATTCATTCTAAGGTGATGTGTGTAGGTGTGGTCAAATTAGGGCTTTGTATAGCTAAAGTATAATTTGTATCCCCTGTGTTCTAGGCTTCTATGTAAATTTTAAAAAAATTATATATATATAAATGTGTGTGTGTGTGTGTGTGTGTGTGTGTGTGTATATATATATTATATATATATAACATACAAGCCCTTTTTTTTAGTTAGTTTTATAGATTATTTGTGTATTTGGAGCAGCAGAAATATTTGGACATCTATTGATTCTAGCTTTTCACCATTTAGACAGTGTTCAGTCATTTTGTTTTGGCCCTGAGTAAAAAATCTTCGTTTACCACAATTTTGCCCATTCACAAATTGATTATAGATGCTTTTTGTAGTTTTACATTACATCTACATTCCATGTACAGTGCAACCTACCTTTTGTGTAATTACTAAATGTTAGATGATGGGAGAGTGCAATGAGGATCCCTTTGGGTTAACAATTCTCACATTCTGTAAATGAGAGTATATGTCTACTCTCACTATCCATGAAATCTGCCAGTCTTTCAATTTTTCTTCTGGCAAATCACTAACGAGTCTTCAATTCCAAGAGCTTCAAATTTAGCTAACAGTCTTAAGGAACTTTATTAAATGTCTGGAAAAACTCAACATTCTGGCAGCATCTGTGGAGAGAAAGCAGAGTTATGTTTCAAGTCCAGTGACCCTTCCTTAGTTCTGCTTTCTCTCCAGAGAAGCTGCTGGACCTGCTGAGATTTTACAGCAATTTATGTTTTTGTTTCTGATTTCCTGCATCTGCATTTCTTTGTTTCTTTTAGTGAAATGTCTTTTGGACTTCCAAAAGAACAAAAGATAAGTACGGCACAGGAACAGGCCCTTCGGCCCTCCAAGCCTGTGCTGATCATACCCTGACTAAACTAAAAAACAAATCTTCTGCCCTTATTGGGTCCATATCTCTCTATTCCCTCCCTATTCATGTAACCATCCAGATGCCTCTTAAATGTCGCCAACATGCCTGCTTCCACCACCTCCTCTGGCAGTGCATTCCAGGCTCCTACCACTCTCTGCGTGAAAAACTTTCCTTGCACATCTCCCTTAAACTTTTGCCTTCTCACCTTGAACCTGTGCCCACTTGTAATTGAAACTTCAGCCCTGGGAAAAAGCCTCTGACTATCCACCCTATCTGTGCCTCTCATCATTTTGTAGACCTCTGTCAGGTCTCCTCTCAGCCGCTGTCTTTCCAGTGAAAACAATCCTTGTCATAGTCAATGCCCTCGAGACCGGGCAACATCCTGGCGAACCTTCTCTGCTGTCTCTCCAAAGTTGCCACATCCTTCTGGTAGTGTGGCGACCAAAACTGCAAAAAGTACTCCAAATGCACCCTAACAAGGGTTTTAGATAGCTGCAATATGGTTTGCTAACTCTTGTACTCCAAGACCCGGCTGATGAAGGCAAGCATGCCATATGCTTTCTTAATCACTTTGGCCACCTGTATTGCCACTTTTAGGGAAATGTGGACCTGCACGCCCAGATCTGTCTGTATGTTAATGTTCCTAAGGATTCCGCCATTTACAGTATAATTCACGCCTAAGTTTGATCCTCCAAAATGCATCATCATGCATTTGTTTGGCTTAAACTCCATCTGCCATTTCTGTGCCCAAGTTGCCAATCTATCTATCTATCTATATCCTTTTGTATGCTTTCACAATCAGTGGCACTATCAGCAACTCCACCAATCTTTCTTTTGTGTCATCTGCAAACTTACTAAACAGACCACCCACATTTTCCTCCAGATCACTTTTATATATACTACAAACAACAGAAGACCTAAGACTGATCCCTGTGGAACACCACTAGTTACCGGTCTCCATTCTGAAAAACACCCTTCCACCGCTACCCTCTGTCTTCTACGACCAAGCCAGTTTTGTATCCATCTAGCCAGCACATCCCGAATCCCATGTGATTTTAGCTTTTGTACCAATCTGCCATGTGGGACTTCAGTAAGGCATTTGATAAAGTCCATATAAACTACATTCACAGCTCTTCCCTCATCAATTATCTTTTGTCATCTCTTCAAAAAATTTGATCAGTTTGGTGAGACATGACCTTCCCTGTATGAAACCATGCTGCTTGTTGCTAACTAGTCCATTTTCTTCCAAATGTGCATATATCATTTCCATATAAAGAACATCGAGACAGTCCCTTCTCAATTAGTTTAAGCTACCTCACCAAAATATTCAATCATGTTGATCAAGTATGACCTATCCTTTACAAATTGATGGTGGCTGCCCCGATCAACTGAAAATTTAAGATGTTCACTCACTATATCCTCATAATAATCCCTATCATCGATGTTAAACAAGGTGGTTCATGCTTCTGAGCTTTATCACTCTATTTTCTTAAAGTGGCATCTGTAATTTTACATTCTAAAGTTTCTGAATTGAGAGAACTTGCAGATGTTTGCACCAGTTTCTTTCAAAACTTTGGGAATAAAGTTGTTACATGCTAAGGCTTGCCATTATTTGTTGTTGTTGATAAGAAATAGGAGCAAGCTATTCAGCTCATTGAGTCTGTCTGCCACTCAACCTAATTGATCTATTGTGGCTTTAACTCCCACTTTTCTGCCTATCTCCTTTTGCCTGTCAACTCCATTGTGAATCAAAAAAAAATGTCTCAGTCTTTAATACGGCCAATGACTCTGGCTCCACTGCACACTGTGGAAGAGTATTTCAAAAACCCTCGAAGAAAAGAAATTTGACCTTTTTTTTCAAGAAATGGGGTTTCCCATTTAAGACAAAGCCACCTAATTCTAAAACAAAAACAGAAATTGCTAGAAGATCTCAGCAGGTCTGGCAGCATCTGTGAAGAGAAATCAGAGTTAACGTTTCGGGTCTGGTGACCCTTCCTCCAAACACCTAATTCTAGATTTCCGCACAAGGCATCAACCTTGTTCATCCAGCAGAATCCTTTGTTTCAATATCATCACTTTTTTTTTCTCTAAACTCCAATGAATACAGGCCAAATCATTTCTCAACAGGTGCCACACCCAAGAATCAGTCTAGTGAACTTTCCTTGAACTGTTACTTTGGTTTCCTTGAATGTTCAGCATGCCACCTCTCTCTCTCTTACCGTGATTACTGAGTTTTTATTGAGTATGCCCCATGACTTTTGTACTTAGTCATACAGCTCAGAACAGACCCTTTGGTCCAACCAGTCCATGCTGACCTTAATCCCAAACTAAACTAGTCCCACCTGCCTGCCCCTGGCAAATATCCCTCCAAACATTTCTTATTTATGTACTTACCTAAATGTCTTTTAAATGTTCTAACTGTACTGACATCCACCACTTCCTCTGGACGTTGATTCCACACACAAATCACTGTGCAAAAAAAAAACACAAATTGCCCCCATGCCTTTCTTAAATCTTTCTCCTC